ACGTGGTTGTATAGACCAAATATTCACACTACGTCAGGTTCTAGAACACAGACACACGTTTAGACGCCCCACAATGGTAGTATTTTTCGACCTTAAGGCGGCATTCGACTCTGTTGATCGTAAGGTTCTATGGCAGTGTTTGCCACTGAAAGGAGTACCAAAGAAGTACATTAACCTTATTCAGGCTCTCTACTCGAACACAACTGGTCGAGTGAGAGCTTATGGCGAACTGTCATCAGAATTGATTACATCAAGTGGTGTTCGTCAGGGCTGTCCACTCTCCCCATTCTTGTTCAACTTTGTGGTCGACGTACTTTTAGAGATAACACTCTCCTCATCTAAATTTCCAGGGGTTTAACTTCTACCGGGAGGTTCACTTGTTGACTTAGAATATGCTGATGACATAGTTTTATTTGGTGAAGACGCTGACAAAACGCGGAGTCTTCTGACCACTCTAAGCAACAATGCAAGCATGTTCGGGATGCGATTCTCTCCCTCGAAATGCAAAATGTTGCTTCAGGATTGGGTTGCATCGACACCCGAACTAATGATAGGGAGTGAAGTAATTGAGCGTGTCGACCGCTTCACTTATCTTGGAAGCCTCATCAGCCCTTGTGATCTGGTGTGTGACGAAATCTCAGCACGGATACAGAAGGCTCGACTAGCTTTTGCCAACTTGCGTCATTTATGGCGTAGGCGAGATATCCGTCTATCAACCAAAGGACGTGTTTACTGCGCAGTAGTTCGTTCCGTCCTGCTTTATGGCAGTGAAACGTGGCCGGTAAGAGTAGAGGATATTCGTAGACTACTAGTAGGTGTCTTCGAAATATTGCTCGTATATCATGGGACCATCGAGTAAGTAATGCAGTTGTTAGGAAACAGGTACTAGGTAAGGATGGTAAATCAATTGATGAAGTGGTGAAATTTCATCAATTGAGATGGCTGGGATACGTGTTACGTATGCCCAAACACCGACATGCGATGTTCAGTGGTATAGGAGTAGATTGGAAGAAAGCTGGGGGCGGCCAGACCAAAATATGGCACAAGTCCATGAAGTCACTGACAAGTGGACTGAGTCATGTCGGTAGGTGTAGATTACCTGGTTGGGGACCGCGAGATGATAGCAACCGATGGTTAGAGACCTTGAATGACATGGCTCAAAATCGTTTGCAATGGCGCAGGTGCATCCACTCTTTGTGTTTACCCAAATTTTGATCTCCTGATCCTCCCTTGTCTCTTTTTTTTCTTTTCCCAAGTTTAGTTCACTGTATTATACTCTTTAAATAACATATCCAAACCCTAATCTTTCCGATTACTGCTTATACTCTTATTACCTCTACCACTACGGGATTTAAATCGATCACGGCATCTCTGTGCTAATGTGGTGTGGCAACTCAACCTGATGTACGTACGTACGAAGTTCTACGTTGTTACTGACTGACTGACTGGCTTATGCCGTAGATACTAGTTTCTTGAAGGAAATGCCTTGTCAGTGACTAGCTTGGTTTCACTGCATACTGCCAATAACATTGTTGCGAATTATCGTTCCATTTCATTTTGAAACATGAGACTAACTTTAACAGTACGATCTAACCAGTGAGCTACTAAGGGAATGAAAATTCATCAAAGAAAAGTTTCGTTTCAACAATGTCATTTACTAAAGCTGTACGCCGGTACTTATAGTTTATTAACATACATAAGTCTCTAATAAAATAGGTCAATATTTCATTTAAACCATGGACCGGCCAATGTTAGACCACCGGTGGAAACCTGGAAGCACTGGACGGCTGTTTCGTGCTGGTATGGGACTTCTTAGCGCTGCGCATCTACGACCCCGCATGTGACACTCGAACCCAGGACCTTCGATCTCGGTCCTGTTTCATATAAAAGGTAATCCAAAGTGTTATCAAGCAATAGGAAATTACATGATACACCAAAGTGAATAAAATTATAAATGAAAGATAATTATCAACTTAGTGAATATTAAGAACATGTTAATATGGAGTAGTATTGCATCATTAGTTATTTGGAAATATCAAATATAGGGACGGACTTGTGTAATGGTCTGACAGTTAATACAAAATATGTAAATGAAGACATTTTATAAAGATAACTGTTTATTTGATGAGTATGAATAATAAAGTAAATAAATGTAATAGCAGCTAATTAATGATTATAAGGAAATAACGAATGAGTAATAACAGAGTATGGAAGATAAGCAAGGGGTTAAGCCGACGACAAAATCCAGGACTGAACATGATTTTTATATATAGAGACTAGTCTGGAATCGTTGGACTGCTAAGGCCTCTATGATAGGTAAGTTCCTAACTCAAATTCCCCTTACATCATTTTGTTTGACCTTATGGATGACTTTGAAGGACGGTTCTGGGGGGGGGCAATATGACTATTGTTTACGAGATGTTCAATGACCGAATTACCAAATAAATTTAATAATCAATTTGACCAACAAATAGAATAATGCTTCGGAATGGGTTTCGAGAGAGTTCACTTCATGAAATTAATATAACCTGATCCAAAAGAACAAGTAAACTTATAAATATATATGCATTCCAAAGCAGAAGCTTATCCTTCACACATCCAATAAATCAAAGGGTAACTGAAGCAGATAATAAGAACTTCAGAATACAGTATTTTTCTCAAAGTTCTAGAAGTTTGTTTTTCAGAATTTTTTTCTACTACATTACTATATCGGTGAAATGTAACTTCAGTGTTGCCGTTTGCTAAATTCACCCTCAATATTTAGCTCAGATTTAGTTAAATGTTCACTTTCAAACTCAGCATACCTTTTCTGATTCAGTTTTATTTTATTTGTTTCTAATTTTCCAATTAAACTACTAATGTCAGAAGAAAGTTAATAAAGACCAATTTTCTGAAATAAAAATTATAAACTTATACGAAATAATAATTGTTCCATTAATGAACGTCATGATGTCAACGCATTGGAAGTTCATGATATTTGTGTAATTTCTACACAGTTTATTATCTTAGAGAGAGGTTACTGGATATAAGGTGTTATTTAGAGTTTCAAATATTGTGATTTTTTTATGTTGTCTTCTTCAAACGGTTCTTCAGTTTTAACATAATTGAAGTACACTACAAGAAATAACAATTGGTTTTACAGTTAGTTTTATTACTAAATGAGCCAGAAGGTGAGAAAATTGCTATAATATTAATTTCACACTAATATTATGCATATGAAACAATGAACTGAATATTTTTAGAGATGAAGAAAACAAAGTGAGCAAATGAGTTCTTTGTGTTGACCCCAACACTAAGTATAGGCATTCATTAGTATACTTACATCGATAAAATGGTTGTTAAAGACAAGCTTGTATGTAATACACATACAATTCTAATTTTAAATGATTGAGGGAAAAGTTGATAAAGCGTGAAATTGTTCTACGTGGTCTTTGGAGCATAAAGATATCCAAAGTTATATTGTCTCTGACGATAGGTGATGTTCAGTGATATCCGGATCTTCAAATAAGGGGAGGTGTTGTGTCCCGATAAGCATAATGAATGCTAATTTTGGGATCCATTTATGGACCACTACTATGCGTATATTTTTATTGTATAATTGTTAAATAACTAAACTATTTATATTCATGTCCCTCTTATTATGAGGTTTATCTTGACCTATGAACTTTTATTATACGATTTACCATTCTTGAATTATGCCCTGTATATTAATAACTACCTGCCACATTCACAACCACATTTGGCTAAATCTTGTACAAATGTTATTTCCTATTTTATGGTACGTTGTGGTCTGTCTGATTGGTATATAAATCTAATATGTTTGAAATAAATCATTCATATCACAGAGGCTGAGATTGGTGTTCTGGACTTAACAGACTGGGTTAGGCAGGAAGCAGGACCGATAAGTACTCTAGACTGCTCGTACGTGTTTTATGCGTCATTGGTGCAATCGATGTTTCATTGCTCTCTAATTGACGGTATCGTTACGTTATACATTAACAGGGCACACGGGCCACAAGTTATAACAATCAGTAGTGTGAAAGTAAGTTGAAACAAATTCAAGAGTGTCTGAACCAAGAAATGTCATCATTTCATTGAGCCATTACTTGCTGTCAATAAAAACTATATTTGTAATATGCCAATGAGTAGAGAAATCGAATTCCTAAATTCCCCGATTTTTCGTGATTTGATGTAAGCTACTTCTTTAGAGAATAAATAAACATTAAATTGACCTGAGTTTTAATAGTACAAATGAACAAGGTAAGAATACTTAGTGCGATCAATAAAAGAAATTAGGTCTGACTAGGTTAACATCATGTCATTCCGCAATGACAAGACATAACAATCTACCCAATGCTCAATTTATTCAGATTATGAAGTCAAACCTTAGTAATTATACCTTAATTCCCTTTTGGTCCGAGACGCTGATAGATGCAGGCTATCTGGTTAGAGTTCTCACGATAACAGAGATCTACAGTTCAAGAATTCATGTGACATGACTCAAAATCATTCACAATGATGAATGTGCGTTTACTTTTTATTTTCTCTTAGGTCCTATCTTTCCTAGTTGCTTTAAAAAATTTATAGGACGAATCCATATTTTCCTCTTGAATCATATATTTTGTGCGCATTTTTTATACTACCACCCATAGTGTTACTACTTAAAACAATCTGATATTTTACCGTAGTGGTATAGAATAGCGTCTTGGACTAATGTCAGCTTAAACGACAACTAGCTGACTTTTAATGTATGCTCTAACAGGTTTCATCATTAAAATGACACAGATCTAACAATTTCTGTTTGGCTATGATAGTTTTTTTCTTCTAAATCAGAACATCATATGTAAATAAAAAAAAACGTACTATATTTACGACAAATCAAAAAGTGGTTATGAATTCTTTTGGATTAGAACAAAATTACATTAGTATCTGATTCATTTAAACTGATTGGATTGTGAAATTGATTCATTTGTGTATGGAATTTTTCTTTTCTTTTTCTTCTGAAATTGAATCGAAATTAAGAATAAAAATGAATGAAAAGTTGACACACTAAACAAATGTCAAAAAGTATTAATTTTCACAATCACTTAATGGGTAGAACTATGGAAAAGCTGATTTTGAATATGAAATAAATGAGGAAAACTTATTTAATCAAAGATGAATTTTCATCGTGAATGTACACTGCTGAGGAGTCCCACACCAGGTCGAAACGGCCGTCCAGGGCTTCCGGGTTTTTCATAGTGGTCTAACTTCAATTGACTCACGAACTCAACTATTAAAATATTATAATATCCACAAAACCCATTTTCTGATTATCTTCATATTGTCGATTCTATCTAATAATCTACTTCAATACTGAAATCTTAGATTCAATTATAAATACATGCATACCTTTTTCGAAAATGAATCTCTATAAGACTATTATGAACATTAGAAGTTGAAGCTATTTTTACTATGTTTAGGATTTAATTAACATATATTGTAGAGAATAATATTTAATTGATCCTTTTATTGGACCATATCAAACCTTTGTTCAAAGAAGATCACGAGTAAGTAATAGAGCTTAGCTGTAGAATAAACTACTATGAAACCGGACTGGTACAAGATTCCTTTGAGAATCCACACAGAAAGATTATATTAAGCTTTTCAAAGAGATTTAACAATATTTATACTTCTAAATGGAGCCCATTTCGGGAGAGATATTATCACTAATTAACATGTTGTACTTCGACTTAGGATGGAGTTAGTGTCGATACTGAAAGATACCTTCAAGGCTCAGATAAATTTTCGGAGACACATTTCATAGGTTTTACGTCTGTCTAATTAATATACCCAAACAATGTGATGAAAAACAAACAACTTAGAAACTTATATGGAACCCATCTAAATAACTGAAGATAATTTAGTTTAATACAAGTTTACAAAGAATGTAAGAGCTGCCAACATCCCCTAATAAAACTATTTGTTTACATTTTTAGAACAATATATGGTAATTAAAAATATGCGATCTACCCGACGTTGAAATCTTTCCCGCGAAATGGAATATAGGAATTCTTTTCTCCAGTAACAAATATTTTCATATTTCTAAGCCTTATCTTTTATTGTCTCCTCGTTTGCAATAAAATCTGAAACAAGTCGTGGATCTTTCACAATCAGTTGATATATAAATAAGTCATTTGATTTACTGAATCTTTTACTCTAATTTTCACTCTAGATAGAAATCCTTTTGTTTTTTGTAGATTATATACAAGAAATTACGAAGGAAACTATTTATCACTACAGCTGTGTATGTTATTCACGTGTATTAAGCAACACAAGATTACCACCTCTATGTTAGTATGTCAACCAATTTGACTGTGCATAAATATATATAATTTGTAAGTAGTATGAGTCAGAACATTTTAATTACAGCTTCCAACACAATCTTTGTCTTTGCCTTCTAAAGAGTTGTAATGACCAATTGTACATTAGTCGAGTTGGACCGTATATCACAATTAAATAAAAAAATCGAGATTCTGAATTAAAAAGTACCTACTTCAAGTAATTACTTTCACAAAAATCATAAATGGTAATAAATACAGAAAGTGTATTGAAATTATAGATGTCTATACTGAACGTGTATCTAATAACTCATTTTAATGGATTATGCCGAAAGACATAAAATGCTACACTAAAAAATTCAGCTTCTTTAGTGAGACAATAACATACTTTTGATCTTTTATATACACATAACCACAGAGCACATATTAGACTTAGAAAAAGAACTGTTAATGCAGTTGGCATTAAAATGAACGAGTATAAAGGGAGACTGATACCACTTTTGGTATTCCTATTATCCCAAATAAATGATGGAAGTTGGTTAGTTCGAAATCCATTTTTCGTGGTTTTAGAGTTTAATGAATTTGTTGTTGATAGTTCAGGAGTTGTTTTTGTATAGTTTGTAAAGCTGTAGTTAGGAAAAATATTTGAATAATACTCAGTGGTTCGCATGCTGCTCAGACCATGCTCCTGTTTATACACTGAAGTGGTTGACACTTGACACTTTGTAGTGTTCTGAAAAAAAGCAAACAAAATATCATTGGGTGTGATAAGAACTTCTCAAGTCCATTCCTTATATCATACGATTCATCTCACAGAAATCAACCATACTGTATGCATAGCTTAAAAACCTGGATCGCGGATGTGCACTGCTGAGGAGTTCCACAATAGGACGAAACGGTCGTCCAGTGCTTCAAGGTTTACACTGGTGGTCTAACACCAATGGGTTTATGCTCTCAATATATAAAAATCGAAAGTTTATCTTAAAAATTCACGAATTGTGTAAGTGTTCAATAGGTATTACGCTAATAAATTGCATGATTCCTATTAATTTCATTTTAATATTTCATTATCAAAATGTAAAAGATGGAGTAAGTGTTTGAAATACCTAGAATATCATTTTTTCGAAAGCAAGTAACTGCTGATGGATACATAATCAGAAAGCTTGTACTCGCACTGGACTATAAGGCTAAAAGGTGCTGAAGGTATTATGTGCTAGATTTCTCAATATTCATAATTCTAAATATTATTTTAGATAAATATTTTATTGGTAAATTTTGTAAACAGTGGAATATAACCTTTGAGGTACAAATGTTCATTCTGGAACTTTTTCTCACATACTGTTAAAGATTCTAAAAACACATTTACCAAAGTACCTAAACACTTCGTTCTTTCTCCCAATACAAAGTGAAAAATATACTGTAAATCCCCTGTAGTTTGACACTTGTTAATTTTTTCAGTGATTTAAACATAGTAGACTATAGATTTACCTATTATTTTCTTACCATGTAGTGGCTGTGCTTCGTTAACCAATCACCCTAGTAATCGCTATAATATAAACCTCAGCGGTGTTTGAAATAAAAATGTGAACAAACTAAATTGCACGTGAGTTGCTATACATTGCCTTGGATAACGATTTCTATGTTCTTGTTACTTCAAACTACACAATAAGTTAAGGTAGATTTGTGAAGATGAATACAACAACAACGAAATGCAACTAATTTTCCAAAACTTACTTTAATATAACAGCTTTTTAACATCCATAATGGCCTGTGAATATCAAATCCATGACTACATTTATTGACAATTGGACACCAGTAACATTTTTCATTTAAAGTGGATGCTTTAATACATGTCTCACAAAGTTCTTGCTCTGAACAAACTTTCAGGGAGAGAACAGAATAATTAGACATCATTTGAGTCGTTAGAGAAAACAAATAAACTCATATTACTTAAGTCAATATTAAATCTTCTGGATAATTTGTAATTACTTGACTTGTGAGGATATCGGCTTCCATGAGAGATAGAATTCGTGTCCGTGAATTTCCGGCACATTTGTTTCATAATGTTCAATATGTGTGTAATATCAAGCTTTCTTTGGCATTTTTCCTTTCACTTAGTGAGTGAGTGCTGAATATGAAAATACTATTTCCACCAAAGATTTTATTTTAAGCTCTAACTCACACTTTACTTACTTTTTACATCCCGTTAGTTGGGATGTACTATAGTAGCGTGTTCATAGAAAACATGAGCAGATATCTTTAAATAAGTGTACTGAAATCTTCAGTTAAAATTGTGCTCTTATATGCAGCTTTCACGCACTAAATGAGCGTAAAAATATTCGAAGGTGTTAGATTTGAACTTTTATCGAACATTATAAAAATGATGGTTAATCTTACACTTCTAACATTGTTGAAGTAAATCTAATAAAACTGATGTCGACGGTGATTAGCTGATAACTATAATTCATAAGATAATTGACTATTTCTGTTGTTGTTCGTTAAGGGTTTTTATTGCGATTAAATTTTGGTTGATCGATTATACTCTGAGTGAATAAATTACTGTCATATCAAGACGTTGAGAAAAGACAGGTCGAGAAAAGAAAAAAGTGTTCAGTTAGTTTCTGACTAAAGAGTAAGTATGTAGATACATTGTTAAATTAATTTTAGTCTTAATCGTAAAACCTATGTATTATTACAAACTCTTGATGAAGAATCAACTTGAACGAGATATTTCTTTGTTTAACTTGTGTTATTGAATTACTGTCTAGTCTGGTTCTCAATTTTCAGTCAGATATTACGCATGTTAACGTGTGATCTAATAAAATGATGTACCTAGTGAACTGATTGAATATCCAGTCTATTAACCAGTTTATTGTTTGTGTACTAATCCTATTACACGACCGGTCGTATTATCTCATGACAAATGGCAACACTTTGTTTTCTTGGTTATATCAAAAACCTCATTTGTTTTTAAGTAGTTCAAAGATACTCATTCTGTAAGTTTAAAATAATTTACAATTTAAGTATATAGTTATAAATGAAAATATTAAAAGAATAAATTTAATAGTTCAGTTCATGAGTCACTTGAAGCTAGATCACCATGGAAAACATGGACGCATTGGAAGGCCGTTTCGTCCTAGAATGGGACTCCTCAGCGTTCGTGCGCGAAACCGGTCGGCCCTGGGTTCGAGTCTTGCTAGGCGGGTTCGTGAACGCGCACTGCTAACTTCAATTGACTCATGAACTCAACTATTAATGTGCTATAATATTCACAAAAACTCCTCTCTGACTAAAAGAATAAATGTTAACGATTTTTATCAAATAACCACTTCTAATTATAATGTAATTTTGGTGAATATCTTGTTCGGTATTATGAAAGTAAATTATTTCATGTAATTGAAATTAAGTTTTTTGTTTCTTCCAGGTAGCTCTAAAGTAATATTTATTCCAAGAACATTGTAGATTACTATTTATTAATGTAATTAATTATCATTGAAATAATTATACAACTCTTAACTGCCTTAAGACTCTTCAACCCGAAAATTGTTTAGTCATAAAACGAATATAATTGATAGTCGCATGTGCAATAAATTGCTTAGTAACCATTTTGATAAACTTTCAGAATGAAGCGTTACTATATTAAAGGATCAATATTTTTTGTGTTAAATGGGATACTGTTAAAAAATTTCAATTTATTTACTTGTATTTGGGGCGAATTCAACCAACGTCCCAGATCTTATCATGATTTTCGGAGTTTTAATATTACTGTACGAAGTTTTAATGATGTATAGTCCAGCTATGCAAAAGTAAATGCAAAAGTTTAGGTAAAAAAAAATGAATTTACACGGTTTTAAATCTAAAAACTGTTTTTTTTTGATGAATTTTGAATGAAATTCAAGATGGAATTTTTTACATCATACAGCATACAATTCCATGATTCTTACAACTAGAATATCACGGTTCTCTTCAATATTAACCTACAAAACGTCATAGTTTTTTTGTGAAGCAGTGTGTTACCTTTGCTACAGAATATCAAGAACGTTTTATTGCTCAGACTTTATGAGAAATTTGACAAACATTGTCAACAATAGTTATTCTGTACCATACTAATATAACTGCATCTAATGAATGGGTTAGTGCAGTAGACGGTTTTCATTCTATCTATCTCACTCCTGTAAATGCACTACTGTGAATACGATTTATTTTAGTGAAATTGAAAACTTAATTGGTTGAAATTGTTCTTCATATGGTCACCAGATAAAAGATTAATTATCAATAAGTAAAATCATAAGTAACTAAATATTCACTGAATTAATTAAAAATATTTATATTTGCCTTTAAATAAGGAATTGTGGTGGTCGGTATTCGATATAATCCTTAACTTCGTATACAATTCGTCTTGCTAACCGTTCTGTATAACGCCCCAACGGTATAATAATCAGAAGGCAAAATACGAAGTGTTGATTACGTTTATTGCGAGACCACACACATATATCCAAATGTACAGATGCGTCAAACAAGCATAGAAGAGTTGTGCCGAAAGGCAAGCAAACGAGCGAGAGCAAGAGCGTGACGAGAGCGTGTGAGTGAGTGAATGTGAATAACATGGACATATATATACCATGTGAAATGAATGAGTAATCGAATCGAATAAGCGGTTAGTAGTAAAACTAGCAGAGTGAATAAATGCGTAGGCAGTAAACAATATTCAAGCATACGTATTTCATACAAGCACAACATAATAATAAGGGTACAATAAATTGTTATAGTGAGGATGACTTTGTCCGCTAAATAAGTTAACAAAAGGGCTTAACTGAGTTAAATGAGAATAAACCCATTTGCACGTGAGTCGCTATAGGATATTTTGTATCATGAGTTAACTAGTTTCAGTTATTTTAAACAGAATGTGTAAATCTCACTTGCATTATATGTAGCATAATCATAACCATCTGTAATACTTATTTTCCCTCCATTGTTTCCAAATTCTGTTGGTATCTGGAGAGAAAGAACAGTATGAAACAATGAAGGACATGTTATAACCCAGTGAAGATTAAGTTATAGGTAACTTCCGAAGACTGTTAATAGACTAATATTCTATAAATATTCTTGTGTAATTATTCAACAATTACATTATGTATATTTATATTCCTCTTATTATAAGCTTTATTTTGACCTATGATTTATTATTATCCGATTTACGGTTCTTAATCTATGTTCAGTCTATTAATTATTATCTCCCTCGTTCACAGCCACTTTCTGGCTTATTTGTGTACACATGTTATTTTCTAATTTATGGTTCGTTGTGGTCTGTCTGGTTGATATATAAACCAAGTATGTCTAAAATAAACGATCTGCTCTGATTCGAAGCTGGTATTGTGTTCTGGACTCAAGTGAAAGGGCTCGGGGGGCATAGGACCAATAAGGACGCTAGACTGCCCACACCGGTTGAACGTCATTGGTTGGCCTAGTGTGAAGACTCGTGTAAGTCGTATTCGGATTGGTCGATAGGTCGCGTGATAGAAAAACCCAGACATCCAAGGTCATAACAGGACATTGATAAATTATTTTTCCATCAGTTTTATAAATCTATCAGTGTTAAATTAAGCGAAGTAACAGTAACTAGAACTAGAATGAAAAATCTACGAGTGTTGAATTAATTATAGACAATAAATGCTTTGATTGGATTGTTTCTTTAATGTAGCTTTGAGTGAATGATCTGCTTACATAAGGTCCGAATTACCAATGTTAAGATGAGGCAAAAAGGAGTGATCTGAAATGTAGGGAGCTATTATTTTATGAGTTAGTTTGTATATTTTTAATGAATAGTAATCAATGAGTCATTTATATCTATGTATAGACTCCCTCTTAACTCATTAAGTTTTACCGCAACTTAAACCACTCATAAATTGTGACCAGCTATAAATTTGTTACTCGACTTTGAGTTAAAAATTGTTAGAATCATTTACATATTAAGATATATAATTTATATTCTCATACTTTTCGTATATAATTATGAGTATGAATAATTTAAGAAATGTTCAGCCACTTATCCGTCTTTCTTATATTCAGTATTTTTCATCATCTCTATCATTCAAGTAATATTTGTGGAGGGATTTGAAGATATAGTTATACTTCAGTTTTTTTAACAGTCCTTTTTATAACTTCTAACGAATCTATACCCACTAACCTTTAACCTCATCCAAAAAATATTAGTAATACATTGTGGAAATGACGTCTACTTAAGATGGAATGAGATTTGTATCAGAAGTAACGTCATTAATTTGTTCCATTGAACAAGCAAAGACTATGAGCAATTGATACCAACTGAAATAGAGAGTTTTAAGTAATCAAAAGATTTTAATTAAACCAACAATAACTACAAATCTCTAAAATTGCGTCTAACTCAGCTCATATACCACATATTCAATTTCAGAGTTTACGCAATCGTCTGACATTAGTTAGGGTACCACTAGAAACACGAAATCACTGTATGCATCATTCATCCTAGTATGGGATTCCTTCGAACTACGCACCCAGAGTTTGTAGGTCAGTTGAAAAGCTAAGAATATTCATTGTGTAGTCAGAATCAGTTCATTTATGTATCTACTTTTCTACATCCTGATAGCCAAAAACAATTGCTATAACAAACATTTTATTTACCAACCGTATTAACTTATCAGTAGAAAAACTACCTTGTTTTATACTTAACAACAGATACCACTAAAAATTGTGAAACAGATTTAGTCATTGATAAGTATTTCTGTCTGTTAAGAGAAATGTGCGCTAAACACGGACTGTTAGTTTTGAGACAATTTTACACAAAAAGCTGAACTGGTTAAAAAAATTCCAGTTAATTATTTATTTCAATAAATCACAGTTTAGTCTATTCACGTTTCGTGTTGGTTGAAACAAATTGCTATAACAATAAATTACATTTTGATTTTGATTTAGGTATAATTTTGATGTCAAACTTTTATATTAACGACGCCGTTAAAATGGAAAGTAATTCAAAAAACACTTACTTGTTGTACTATATTTATGGCCGCTTGACTATTTACTACGTATTCCAAATATGTGACAATGTCTAATGATGTTTTCAAGTTGGTTATTAGTTGAGAACAGGAGATAATTTTTGTGAAATTTCCGACTTGTTAGTCAAATCTGTTTCAGAGTGTAGATAAGTTTGCTTTAGTTAAGGGTTAAAAAAGTCTTGCAACCATATATTATCCATCTTGGTTTCAGTGTTGCTTTATAATGCTCATGGAATAAGGAGAAATCAACCGAACACTTAACTTTCATGTATGAATAAAAAAAAATTTTTTTTAATTTGTCAGTTAATTTATTCTATTATTTTACCAGTTTCTGCTAAATTTCCCATTTAATCGTCCTTCAAGTTTTGAGAGAAGACCATAGTGTACAGCGTGGGACTATGAAAGATGTCATCAAAACTAATGGCACATATTATGTTTGTGAAGAGCTTTAAACTATTGAGTGCAGATGGTTTGTACATATTACAGCTACTGCTAGTCTCATTCATAAGTTATTTTTTGATTGTTCTCTGACAGAATAGAGAGCAAGTAGATAAAAAATTTGCTCGCATAAAGCTAACAAGAAAAATCCCATCTGGAAATACTTAATACTATGAATCCAATACCTCATATTTATAGCATAATGTATTAACGAACAGTTTAACTTACCTTCTCAAAGTAAACTGATATATTTCCATTGGAGTATATAATGCAAGCCACTATGGCTGAAATAAAATATTAGTAAGGTTGAAGGTTTACACGATCTATTCTTTAAAATGAATTAAATCAATTACATAATAGAAACTGACACTTTATTATCTATTCTCTCTACAATACATGAATCAATTTATTGTGAAAATAGATTTTACATACAACTATAAATAACAACTACATACTCTCTAAGGAAAAATATAAACATTCAGTGATCTGAATTTTTCAGCGATTACTTAATATCTGACATTTCAAAGAGTTTCGTAGTAAGAGGCATAATCGCTTTTGTCGAATTTAAAGAATGAATGGTTATGACCAGTAAATAGTAGTGGCACTTCATACAAATTCGACCTTTGTTACCTTTTAATGTAGGTATTCTCATTTGAACTGAAATTCATTGACCACAACGTTTATCATTGTTATCAGTGTTGTCATTTTGAATTCTATCGTCTCTTTAATCAATTGTAATACACGATGTCTTAGCAACAATATTAGATTACCATATTTCTTATTTATTAAATATAATATTTTAGTATTAGTGCTTTTCCTGTTTGATAAACTCAGTTTTAGTACGTAAACGTTTTTCTATTTATCACGCTTGATCTAAAAAAATTATTTAGGTGCATGCTATCTGTTTTCATATATTTTCATAATCAAGATAAAAATGTTAGCAAAATTACCGAAATTATTCATTCTCGCCTTTAAAATAACAGTAAATCTGAAAGGATTATTATTTATATAACAGAGATGATCAGAAAATTATATTTTTCGTGTTGATTGTTCAAGTAAAATCCTTATCGGAAATGAAATGTTATCAATCATACTTGTGAATAAGAATCGATATTTGGCGGTCTACAACATGGACTGTACTTATTATCAAACAACGAAAATTCCTGATGAGAACGCTTTTTTCAGTTTATTATTAAAATTATAGTCGGTATTTAACTTTGATTTATAACTGATAGTTGATTAATTTAATTTTCATGGGGCAACTGTGATTTTATTTTTTTCTGTAGAATAATGTACAAACATTCAGTTTGAAATTGAAGTGAATTGGTAGTCTATACTCCATTTTACTTCATTTAATTAAGTTTACTTATTAAAATATTAAATGAGTACAGACAGTTTGAAAGATTAAACGTTCAATTATTTCCTTGAACATGTTCATATAAAACTGGAGTAAAAATATGGTCTGAAATGTCTTGATAAGAAGTCAACAGATCAAAAAGACTGTATTTCAGTAAACTAATGTAACTTCTTGTTTTTTTCTCTAACTATCCCCATAAAACGATGTTTATTTTTTAAAGGATCGAAAAATAGGCTATATTTCAGTAATAAACTGCACAACTTACCATATTCTTCAGGCTCATCATCATGCAAAGTAGAAATACTTAAATTAATCCATTTGATAGCCAAAAATTTGTCTAAAAATTGAAAATTAAGTTTTTTTCTTCATTATCTTGATACATGTAACTGTATATGAAATTAAGTTCCTCCAAAGATAATGGTGATTTGTTATTTAATTAAAATAACAACATTTTACTTTGACTATCAATTAAAGGACGAGTATACTGCGTAGCAGTTCATTCTGTCCTACTTTCTGACTGAGAAACTTCACCATTAAGATTAGAGGATACTCGTAAGTTACTAGTATTTGATGACAAATGTCTTAGAAATATTGCTCCCATCTGTTGGCATCACCGGGTAAGTAATAGTGAGGATAGAATGATGGTAAATCAGTTGATGAGGTTGTGAATCTACATCGACTGAGATAGTTGCGCCAAATAATACGCGTTACCAGCCATCGATCAACACGACGCGCAATGTTGACTAGTGTTAGTGCTGGTTGAAAAAAAAGTTAGAAGCGGTCAAACTAAAATGTGGCATCAGTACTTGAAGTCACTAACTTCTAGTCTGAGCCAGGTTGGTAGAATCAGACTACTTGGTTGGCATTCTCGCGAATGTCGTAACCAATGTTTGAAGACTCTGGGTGACCTAACCCATAGCTCAGAATCGATCACAATGGCGTAGTTGTATACACTCATTTTCTTCCCTTAAACCGTGAGATTAAAATTACTTCATACCTGTCTTTCCACGAACTAATTCTTTCTCCCTGTATCATATCCTTATATGCCGATGCTTTTTTTAAATATTAATACTAGGGAAGTAACTGCTTCCATGAATTTGGTGTTCATCTTGTTGTACTATTGAGGTTTTGCGACTTGAACTGTTGCATAATGTGCCTGGTCCTACGTTGTAGCTGACTAAGTGGCTGTTACTTTGAGAAAGATTAACTTGGTTTTGTAACAATCTTGTCATATATACTTATATTTGCGATCTCTAAAACAGTTGTTAGGATGATTTCATCACGTCTAAAAATACCGCTTAGAATAAAAATATGAAATTGCTTAGTGATGAAAGAAGGATACTGAGTAGTGAAAAGCATATTAAAGAAACACACTTGTAATCCCTTAAAGTTCAGGGGAAGTCATCTCTGCGTTTGTGGTCGATTTGTTTCGACAAAGTTTCAATCGAAATATAACTGAATAACTTAATTGAGGAAGTGGAAGTCTTCTACAACAAAACTTTCAGGGATATAGGTTTGTAATGAAGAGACATAGCACTTTATAAAACACATTAATGCATATAGACATCTAGAAGCCAAGCTTTGGCTGAAAAAAAATGGAAAAATGAATGACTGATGAAACTTTGGAAATCATCACTGTAAAACTATTCCAAATGAACTATCGTTTCACACTGAACGTCTTATTGAAAAGCGAATAACACAATAAGTGTTGTGAAGCAGTCACATAAACCATATCATTTTGAATGAGAATTTAATTTATGATTTACTCAAGTCACTCTTGCTTTCAGTGTTTGTAGAAGGATGTTTCATATTGTGTAATGAAGTCTATGGCAAAATGAGTAAAGTCCATATCAGATCAATAAAGTTACTAAAAATAAATGTGAAGATGGTAAAAATAGACTAACGGGATAATATGATTTTACATAAATTACGTATATAGTGACTAGATTTACAACTGCAGTTTCGTTGTTCTTGTAGTGTTTTGTGATTATCGGTATTACTGAAAATAAGAAGCCCGTTTTGGTTTCGTTTCTTAAAACTAAAAGTGACATAATTGGTTATTGATTTGCAATTTATCGTTGTCTATAGAAAATGTCTGGAAAAAATACGTAAATAGGTCACTAGGACACTTGATATCGTGAACAGGCTGAGAAAGCTTACTAGTATTCACTATCTCCACTCCACCATCTTTATCCATCCCATTAAAAACTTCAATTTTTTTCATTGCTCCGGAATGACGAAATGATTTTCCAATACCCACGATTCCTTAATTGAGATAAAAAAACACATCAAAGATGAAAAACCGTTCACTGGACTATTAATAAGAAGCATAATGTAAAACTACTCTTCCTTTAATGTATTCGGCACACAAATTGAACGATAATACCTTCATCTATAAACGAACACCAATAACCTATAAATTGATTGACGTGAAATTTCTTTAAACCATATTTTCGTCAGGACAAACGAATGATGATTGCAATTGTTGGAACTCATAAGTGCGGAAGTAATATATTCAATTGCAATGACAGACTGGTAATAAATTATACGTTCATAGAAAGTAGTGAGATAATGGAGACGATATATAGCCCAAGTGGATGATTTTGGAGGGATTGCATTTTATGAGCTGGATAATTTAATTGTGAAGCTCAGAGTTCAAGTTGGTAGTATATCCAACGAACATGATCTTATTAAACAGTTCGTCGTTTAAATGTTTCTTCGAACAATTTCAGATCACTGATTAAGTATATGATGTTATTATTTGCCTCAAATTATTGCATGTGTAGTGAATCGAATTACTGATGCCGATGATTCATACATCGTAGCAGATATCAACTATATCGAATAAGCACTTCTAGAGTATTATTAGATAGTAAATGAAACAAACCATTTGCCGTAAACAACTAACCACGGGTGAAAGTTCAAGTTGAATAGTTTAAATTGGATATGATTTAGTGAATCTTTTTAAATAAAATGTTTATCACTTACCTTTAGACAGTATATTCACTGAATCATATTGCATACCATAATATTTTATTGGGAATAAAGTACTCACATCCTGTACGTTGAATTAATGGTTGATTTGACAAAAAACAAAGCAATTTACCAGATATGATGTTGCAGGAATAAAACTTTTATTAGATTCATTAAATAGAACAGGAGACAACTGGTCAACTCTAGTCAACTGTGTATAATAATAATGATAAGACTAGTTAGTTTACAAATATTTCTGCTAAAAAAAACACTCATACTTGTCTGTAGGATTCATTTCCCCAAATCAACTTTCCATATTCGTCAGTGTTATCGCTTATTAATTCGTTGATCACATGGTCTGTGGTTAATAGGTTAACCAGTAAATATCCATAACAGTGTAAATATATGATTAATATTGAGTACATTGAACCATGAAACATTAGATTTGATGGAGTAGGGTAGTTAATAAATAAAATCCTAATAATTCAAATGCTTTGATAAGTACTATAGACATCAGTGCTTCAGATAATTCAGTAAAGTGTGCTTGTTTGTGATACACTGCGATTGGTTAATTTGATGTGACCAATAATAAAGCCGAGTTTTTTGCAGTAAATGAATAATTTTGCACCAAATAAATTCATCATTAAAAGTGATTTATTGGAAAATATATAAAAAGTTGTTTGTAGAGATAATAGTCCAGAAATAAATACCTTCATATAGTTCAGTTATGTTGTAAGAGTAGGGTTGATGTCATGGTAAAAGTGAGAGTGAGGGTTATAGTTATTATCAGGAGTTAGTTTCTGTTGGTAAAGTTATTGTATTACGTAAGCCTAATTATATAACCTTGATATAGATTGATGTTAACGAAGTTCCCTAAGTATCAAAGAGAGTTCATTAGAATTAAAATCCCATTACTAACAATAGAGACGAGACATATATTACTTTGTCTATCAACGACACTGATTTGGTTAATGTTGTAACGTGTGGACTGCAGGTTTAATGCGCAGCGTGCTTATCGATCGATTGCAGTGATACGTAAACACCTAGTGAACGACCTAGAGTCCCGATTGACCCTGCTTCGCTGTCTATTCCAGCCAGTTGAGTCCGGAACGCGAGTCACAGCCTCTGAGATATGAATCATTATATTTCAAACACACTCTGTTTATATACTAACTAAGCAGACCACATCGTACCATAAAAATAGAAAACAACATTTACACAGTATAAAACAAGTGAAGTAAATATCGACCAATAGGAAATATACATTTAGCGTCCAAGGACACCATTCGACTTAACACGATAATTATTGGTATATTCCTCTACATACCTAACAGTTAACTTTAATTAATTCCAATGTATATTATAATGTAACAAATTCTCGTTCTTACCATAATAATCCCTTCTTTCCCCTCAAATTTCTAACTTCTATAGTGTATTTATTTACGTTTACAAATTTCATGCATAATGCTACATTCGTGACGAGATCATTCGAAATTTATTACACAAGTGAAACTGGATTTTGGGATCACCTATATCTTCTCATCATACTTTTAAAATTTGTTAAATCAACTGGTAATTCTAAATTTGTAAGAGAATACTCATTCTGTTGACCTTCATTGAATAGCTAGGTGAGCTTATCATCCTGAGATTGAAAATACATCTGAATAGGTGAAGCTATACTTTTACGTATCTTAAACTAAGAAACCTACCACAGTTAGTTTCGCAAACTACAATCAGAGTTTTAAAAGCTTATTGATATTGAGAAAAATACGGTGAAACGGTGAACAAATCATCTGAACTTGATATTTATAAATCATCTATGCTATCGAAAACTCGTGTAGTCTGTCACATAAAATTTATGGGTTTTTCAGTTTGCCGACAACTAAAACAAAGGATTTTACTGAATAAAAGGTCATCTCGTATAAATGACGATAATGAAAATCCATTTCATATAAATTTAGACAAGCATGGTACTTGAATATTACATGGGGATGAACGATAAAGTATCTAGTTTCTGTTGTTTCTATAGTCTATTTCCATATATTGCTTACTAATCACTAACATTGTACCAGAGTTAACTAAATGATTAATATTCAAAATTTTGGGGATACACACACATACAGGTAATTAAATGACGGTACATTTAAGGTTCAAATATTCGATTACATTTCGTTTCATAAACTGCAAGTCTGTATACTCCGATCTCGTCGACTTTGATGAGTATACGTTGACAATGTTCCATCTAAACTATTGGTTACTTTCCATTTATCACTTCTGATTTGAACCGATTAAAATGACTCACATTTAATTATTGAAAAAACAGTCATTCAGTGTAGAGCATATCCGTTTATAAATACTAATGATTCGAATATGAAAGGGAAAGTATAATTTTAATGGAGATAGGAATTAAATGCACGAAATATTATAAAGACAATGAAATAATTTGAATATTGAATGTAATCTTTGTTAACTAGATAAAATAAATCTGTTCATTTTAGATTATATAAATACATATCTAATCGATTATTTTTC